AGTTGGAGAGATTATTTCTCCGAGGCAGTTAGACACGCTACAACTCAATAACTGAACAGCTCTGTGGGCCTTGTTGGCAGTCAGTTTTGATGATTTCACAAAGTAACATCTATTTTGAGGTGAGAATGTTACTCACGTTCGCACTTTGCATGAAGACAAGCAGAATTTGCACAAAGAAGTGTTATCGTGCCTTGTGCAATGACAGACTTGGCTACATTGCATTACCACAGAGGGTTATACATATCCAGCCTTCAACAGAGGTGTTATGCAACAACCTTGTTTTTCAAATCTGCTACTTAAAGCCAGTAAAGGGATAATAATGGAAGAAAACACAGTTGTTGTTTTTTCTTTGTTCTGTGCTCTAAGGTGTTGGACACAAGCACAAATGGACTGCATTTCAGAGTAAAAACTGAACATGGCTGCAGGGTAAGTGACAGCTTGCAGAGTCTCACAGCTTATTCTGTTAATTTTGCAATTGTGCCAATTATAACGAGTGGTCTTTTTATTGCTGAGAAGCTCTGAGTATTAATAACAAGGCCACAGAGGAATTACCTACTATTACTAAATAACTTTATAGCTGTAATCACATTTTGACCACCAGATATTGGTCATTGTGCCAAATCGGTTTGTCACTCCTGCTTTGTGCTGATGTCTGGATTTCAAATTGCCCCAAAAGACGATAATTAAGCATGAAAATGTTTCATTAACATTAGTTTAAACAGTGTTGTTTCTGTTTTGCTTGTCTTTTCCCCTTTGTTAGGAAGTAACAGAACATGTAGAGCCAGCCCATCAGGTAAACAATGTTAGTAAAGACACTTCACAGCTCATGCCGTTGCTGTATCTACATGGAATTTTATTTACACAGAGCTACTGAACATCGACTGCCACCTCAATTCATTTTCATACAGTTAACACCAACCTCTGCCGCACAGTGCTGGAGAACATCAGAGAAATAAAACAAACAGACAAATAAATAAATAACCAATTGTGATTTGTTTTATCTGGGAACACTCGGGTGAGGCAACACACAGAGTCTAGTTGCTTTGGACAGCTGTTTTAAAAGCAACATAGCTAATTGTTTGTACGTTTGAAGCTATCTTTATTCTAGCTGCTGCCCTGCTGTCTGTCTTTGAAGTCATTCGGAGCAATCGTACATCAATTTCAAGTGAATGTCTTATTTAGTTTATAAAGGAGTCTGTATTTCTCCTCATTAAGAGCAATTACAGCAGTTATCAAACTTTGCGTTTATTCCTGTTAACGGTGCATGGGCATGCTTTTTACCCGGAGGAAAATGATGAGATGGCTACGGGAATATGCCAAACCTGTCAAAATGTGTTTGGCGTATTTGGAAATGGCTAATGACCGTGTCTCCTGAGGTGGTGTTGGAGTAGCCCAGCAGTTACACCCTGCTGCTTCTCCCGTTTGCAATTATCAAAGACAGGAAATTAAGAAAGTTTGGGAAGCTAGTACACAGCAGGGAGCATTTGCCCAGTTTGGGTTATAAAATAACAATGTGGTGCTGTTGTTCACATTGTCAAAGATTTGGCGCAGAAGTAAAACTGATGAGTCTTGACCCATCAAGCAGAGTATGTGGTAGGACAACGTCAAGAAGGTTTTCTTGATATCCAGTTAGTAAAAAATCTAAAGTACATCCACATCTGCTTTTTCTTTTTTCTTTCAACCTGTCATCCTTTGCTTTTAATAGTGACTGAAATACAGGAGCAGAAACTGACGCAACAAGGGTGACATCAGTAAGTGTTTACTGACCACAAACACATACCTTGAATAATTCAGGGGGCCAAGAGCTGGACAGGCCCTTGGAAAATACCCAGGATATTCATTGTATTAAAGCTTCTGTTTAGCTGTTGTCAAGAGCCACAAAATCTCTAGCTGTGACTCTGATGGAGCGTGACCAACTATGAGTGGGGAAACCTGAGGAAATTGCTTGGCTAAAACATGCTATGGATACTTAGCTCCCCCAAGCGTGACCCGACTTAGATGGATGGATGGGTTGTTCAATGTGAAAGGGACTCAACAAGTAACACACACGCACATAGATGTGTATGTGTGTGTGTGTATATATGGAGTTAATCAGTAGTGCAATATTTTGTGTTTATTCTGTGTTAATTATTAAGACATGAGAAAAAACACCAAGCCATAATTGCATTTACTAAAGTGACGCTATCATTTAGCTTTTCTGCAGCCTCTTGACAGCCCATGTTTTAAGTGAAAGGTCAAAACAGCAGCAGCAGATATCAAAATCTGTCATCTGAGCAGGGAGTTGATTTTTGATTGATATTTATCAGTGTGAGAGTTTTGTCTTTCAATATGAGTAGCATCTGCTGGCGATGAAGAATTTTGAGGCAGTATTGTCTTTAATCTAGCCAGGACTTTTGTCAGCTGCACAGCTTGCAATTGTTATCACACTGACAAAAACACAGAGATGTAAGCAAGCATACCCACAACACCCTCGAGGTAGAAAACAGTGCGTCAGAGCTACTGAAAATGAATGCAGACTTAAATGGAAAGCGGTGAGACATGACATGCATATGGAAATAAATATACTGTGCTGAAAGCAAACCACTGTTTTGTTTAATCTTACAACATGGACAAAAAGGGGGTCAGGCAGGGATTTCCCATGAGTTAAAATGAATGTTAACTGATCACTTGTCTTTTCGGTAGATGTATGTTCATTTGTTTTTATTTGCATAAACACTAGTTACCCTCTATTTCTTGATTGACACTCCTCGTATGTGTACGTAAACCTGTTTCTGATTGTAATTCTAACTGCTCCCGCTGGTTGAGCACTTGCAAAATAAGATGTGAGAACTGCAGGGCGTACTGTGAAGAGATCTCTCAGCACTGACCTTGTTTACAATCCTTAAAGAACTTGCAGCATGATGCCCTTGAAAAGATGGGAAGCAGCCTACAACATGCTTTGTGATAAAATAGCATTTCCAAATTTAAGGATTCAAAGTTCAGTTTGTTGCAGGCAAAAGATCTATTTGAAGACTTAGAAAGGAAATCTTTGGAAGAATGAATACATCAGTGGCTCTCTGTACTGGTAATAGAAAGGCACTTGTTGACATTGAAATATAGAGGGGCTTTTAAAGATATAGTACTTTGCATTTGAGAGAAATGTCAAATAAATATGTAATATTTACAAGCAAATAGGGTATAACCTGATACGAGGAGCGATTCTCAGTTAATTTCATCCAGCATTTTTTTTTACATAATTTGTAAAACTTAAAATTATTTTAAGATAACGGTGATGCTTCAGCAACCTACATGGAAAGTCTTACTATTACAGTATTTATTTGCCCTCAGTTGTAAACATGCAATGGTTATTCTGTGAGTGACAAAAGTTGTCATGGAGAGGGGTAAAAAAGGCTCGTGAATATCATCTTGCACAGTGCTTTCAGCCTTGTGGTGTTAACAAGACACGAGGACAAGCTGTGAAAGGTCAGTGAGAGGGCAAACATGGAAGTAGATTCTCAATTTCCAGTGTTGCACAGACGTTATTGTGCACACTGGAAATTGAACTTCTGCAGTAGGGTTTTCTTCAATACAGATTCTGTTGAGTTCATATGTGTGCATGCACTTGACATTATGAGCTCCTGTATTTTTGTTTTTCCTTTTTGCATCAGAGGACCTTACACGCCATGCTAGATAATCTGCTGATTGTTATTTCGTTTACCAAGATATCTGCCTCTTGGTATTCAGGTCAGAACTAACACAGATCTTGTTAATCCCTTTGACAAACATTGCTACTCCTGTGTGCCACAAATGAAAGCGAGGCTTTCAGCAGTGGCTCCATCATCAGCGGGGTCTAATCTGAATGTATCAGTTGATGTTAACTCAGAGACAGAAAATCCATATGCCTTCTGTGAGCATAGTTTGCTGTATTGCAAGTTGCCAGATATTGTTTTTCCCCACATATGGCAGGGGGTAATGTTGACCAGTTTCCAATAAACCTAACTGGCAGGAGGTAAAACAAAAGACTGGCAGACAATGTTAGCTTCATAGCAGAGGGTGCATTACAATGGATATATGCACCATAATTGTTTATGCTTACAGCATCTTATTGGTGGTGAGTGAGGATTCTTTTAAACCAAAAATGAAAAAAGACCAAGAAATTAAAAAATTACTTTATAACTATTCATTCCAGTGCAGCTTACTAAATCATGACAGATTCATTTTATGAGCAGGTGTGTGCAGAACAACTCAGCATAAGAGGCTAGAATTACATTCATAATGCCATATATCATTGGTGTCTGGATGGGAGTGGTGGACACTGGGTTTTCAACAGAACAATACTGCCATCTAGTGCAATTGCTAAATACCTGCTTACAGACCGAAGACATTTTTGATTTTGAAAATTGAGAAAATGAGTCCACTGTGGTCAGTAAACTGGAGTTAATTGTGTCCAAACCTTGTACTCGATCTAAGCTGCCAAGAGGTGTGACAGAGACCAGAGCTGAGACAGATTGTGCATGGTTACTGAAGTAAAAATAAATCAGTAATTGTGCTTAAAAAATATGGGGGCAAAATGAGTAAAGAAAAAAGTTTAAGAACTTTCCTTGACTTCAAATTCATCTCTCGCCTTGCACTGAAATGCCTCAATGTCACGGCAAAACTTTTATTGGGTCCCCGAAAACAATCTTGAGTAATTGCAGTTCTGTCTCTAGTATTTGTGACCCCAGAACAACAAGGATGTTCAAGTTCTATTAAAGAACGCTCAGGTTTGCAGACCCTAGAGTTCCGCTATGGTTTACAGGACCCTCGAAGTCACCATTTTTCATGACACAATTTCATATTAAATCTTGTTTTTTTTTTTTCAACCCCTGTCATTTCATGCAGACTCTAGGGTGATACTTCAAGACAAATGTCTGGGCCGGGATGAGGTTCGATGTTAGAATGCAAATGAATGAACCTTTAGCAGCCAGCAGAGGGGGTTAACGCTGTATACCATTAAGAGGATTCTGGCATTCAAATCTCCAGAGACCTCCTGTGCAAAGGTTATGCTTTAAAGGGTTTCAAGATTAAATCGCCAGTCAACTTGAACTAAACATATGGGCAAAATGACAATATTTAGATATTTTTCCACCTAATGTTCCAGTGCAGTGGTAGTGCAAAGTAATCAATGTAATTGTGTTAACTTCAAAATCACAAAGGTAAAGTGAAGCTTTTCATAGGTTTTATTATTTTCTGTCAACAAAATGTAGCACATAGTTTTTCCAAGCATCTGCCCCAGAAGAATTGTAAAAATGCACCATGCAGCAAAGTGTGTGTATTTTTATACAGATTAACTCTGTTATATTTTACAAACATACATCTTCAGTCATGGACGTTTTCTGCTTTGTATCCTCATTTCTTCATGATAATTAAACCTCGCCTTCCACAATGAGCACAACCAGACACAGTAATAAAGGCCAGCTTTATTTCCTCTTATTACAATAGCTAGATACATTAAAGGCTTTTCCACAGACAAAAGGGCACAAGTGAAATTCTTCCAGCTGAAAATAACTTCAGAGCTATAAAACTTCATCAAGCAAACACGGCATCAGACATTACTGTTTGAAAATTAAAATTAAAATTAGTAGTCCCTTTTATGTTGCTGCACAGAAATGTTACTAGCAGGAAAAGTGCTCCATTTGTTTTGTCAAACAGTCCTATGATATATAAAAAAAAAAACAAAAAGAGATGCTTTGTGGACTAAACCAACAAGTATTTGTGCTGCTTGTGTGATTATTTTTGTAAAATATATAAATGTTATAATCTGTAGTCTGATTTGCACATTCTCAAGTGGACAACTTAACTAAAGCAACAGCATAGCCAGAATCAAATGCATTTTCATCGATTGCAATATAAATTGCCTGAGAGAGACGCAATCATATACATGTGTGAAGCTTTTTATCACAAGTGGAAAAACTATGAGTGGAAGAAGCACTTGGTATCCAGTTACTTTTTTTTCCGGAAGTAAATGCATGACACACTTTGTTGAGTAGGGATGATACTACATGTTTTCCAGTTGCAACACTGCTTTCACAACAAACCTGATATGATAAACTACTGTTAAACATAATTATCTGCATATTATAAGCCAAAAGAATTGTCAGCCTCTCATAGAGATGAATAATTAGCCCTGTTATAACCACCAGTTAAATCGTAGGTGACCTGAGGTATGGGGCAGTCTGCGAAGAAGTTTGGAAAGGCTAAAGTGCACAGCGCATTGTCTTCTATGGGCCCCGTAGCACCCTCAGACTGACAGTAGACAGGAGGCTGGGCTGGGCCTGTACGCATACTCTCCCCTACTTTTTTAGAGGGTCCTGAGCAGCTAGTCCAGGGTTCCGAGTAGAGGAGGCCACCAACTAAATGATGAGTATCGTAGGAAGCTGGATCTGGCCCTCCCAACTCTGGCTGCACCCGGAGAGGCATGCCTTGATAAATATCCTGATCGCTGACCATGTTGCAGTAATCGGGCCCCAAGAGCTCAAAGAACTCTGTAGCCTCTGGATTGCCTCGCTCCAAGTCCTTCAGCGTCATTCCAGATGTTGAACTGACTTTGGAGCAATTAGCAGGCTCGGTAAAGAAAGAAGGGGGCAGGTTGCGATGCCTCAGCGGTGGTTTCTTGGGTTTTTCACCCCTTATATCCTTCACAGGGCTGAAGAGAGCTGCCAAGCTTTTGCTCTGCAAGTTGGCCTGAACACCATCACGCTTAGGTAGAGTTTTGCTCTGCAAAGTGCTTGGCTGAGTCAGTGGAGAACCCTGTCTTTTTACTGGGGCCTCTGCAGCATTTCCTGGTGTTATAATGCCAGTGCACCTTTTGATCTGCTTTTGCAGATACTTCCGGTGGTTGACTTTCCTTTTAGATTTCACTGGCTTGTCCAGAGCTAGCTTGATATTGCTGGAGGCTGAGTCTATGAAACTCAACAAATCCCTCGTCGTCTCTTTGTAGTCCTCATCATTTTCTGTCTCACCCAGGAGACTTCCATCAAGACTTTTTTCCACATCATACTCCATCACAGAGCCAGGGAAGCAGAAATTCATGAACTGAGGGTTCATGATTGCAGTCTGAACAGCCATTACTCTGTTGAGCCCAGCAGCTACACCTGTGGCATCCACTGTGATCCTTGAACCCAAAATTTCTTCACAGCATGCCCTTTTTCCTCTGATAAAAACTTGGTCCTGATGCTGCTCATGAAGTTCCTGTAAACATTCCAGAGTAGAAGTGACGCGCTCTGAGGAAAGTAAGGAGATCTTTCGGGGGGCTGGACAAATGATGTCAGAACATCAAAGAGGAGGGGCAATGGGACCGCTGGACTTAACTCTTTGCTTGTGCCCGACCACCTGCATCTAAGAGGGATTTGTCTGAAATTCCCTGCTGAGCCGAGGACAATAACCTCTGTCAGAACTCTCCCCCTCTAGTTTAACTGTTTGTGTGTGCTCTGAACCAAAAAAGCTTTCATGAAACTCGAGGATATTACTGTTACAGTGAGAAGGGAAAAAAACATGGTGGATAGAGTACGGAGGCAGAAATGTAATACAAAATGATCTCTGTTAGACTTAAACAACCATATCCTCCTTTGTTACGTTCATGACTATCAAACAAACTATGCTTAAACCCCCCCAAACAAAGAAAAAATGTAAATAACTTTCAAATCCTCAACTAGCCGACACCATTGTTCACACGTTCCTCTCGTCTTTCTCCAAACACTAAAATAAAAAAGGAAAAATATACTAATATTTTTGTTTCCTGTGTGGATACCCAAATAAAAATGTATTTATAATCTTAATTTTCATTTAGGCACAGGGACAAACAGCTAGCACATCACAACATTACAGTACAGGGAAAGTTTTGGGGGGGGTTTTGTCTGTGGGAAAATCTAAGCGTCTAAACAGATGCCACTATATGGGAGAATCTTCCCAACTGCTTGCTTGTGTCTTAATCTGCTCATGGCAAAAGTTGATTTCTAGTGCATTCCCAGGCCAGTGGGAATTTCTGCCCTGGCCTGACAACTATTATGGGCTGCCTTTGACATAAAGCCCTACAGGGTCTAAATAGCCTCTATTCTTCGCGCAGCACTGAAAGGGAGCTTTGTGCCAGAGATTCATTAAATTGCACCTCACAGCCCCTTCGTAAAATGGGTCTCAATAATGAACAGTCGATTTAACTAGAAAAGCTGCCGGAGCTGTTAAATTAAAGGGGAATAAAGTGCAGTTCAGGCTTAGTGTGCCAGAAGAAATGTTGACCTTAAGAAATCCTGGGTATGAAACTTCTGTTGTAAACAATAACGTATTTACAGGAAGTTTCTTGGCCAGCAGTGAATACAATGGAGGATGTGTCCAAGAGCCAGATTGTTAAGTTGCCAGCACTTATCAGAATTTAAGTGGAATTTTTTTTTTTTGGAGTGATCAAACTGGCAGCCACTTTTTCACCCTGCTTATATTTTTCAGTATTTCGGTTTACAAGGTAATGCAGCAGTTTCTATCTGGCACATCCTTGAATCACTTTAAAGCTTCATTAATTATTTGAAGTGATGCTGAGGCGCATAACTGAAAAGGTAACAAGTGAAGATCCTTCCTCTTTCAGAAGATCCATTTGAGGTGAAGCGGTGGCTCATTAGGGTTTTTGAGACATGAAAAAGTCTAAAGTGGTGTCAAATTCTTTCTTATGGTAATTCCAGGGAGAAAAGGGCCAGTGATACTGATAGCACTAATTATCTGTAGCCACACAACACAAATCAAGAAGAAAAAAATATTAGAACAGCAGGTGGATACAAAACAAAGACTATCTTACTTGTTATACAAGTGCCAACTATGTGAAAAAAAACAAGAACTTGTGAAGTGCATGAGCAATTTCATCCGTTTCCATAAATGTTTCAAAATAAATGTCCAAAAAAGTTTACATTTATCTTAAAAACAGGGGGGAAACAGCTGCAGTCTTATCAGGGCATCACATGCATTCAGTGCAGGGGCTTTTAATGCCTGCCCAAACTGATTTTGTCTCCTCTCTTTGCTAACGGCACAGTTTTGGCAAAGTGACATCATCACAGTCATGGCAGCTATATCCCCCTTTTTTTCCAAGTCGGGGGGTCTTGGCTTTTGTGCTGGTGGGTCATTCACATGACAGAGCCTGACGCACAGATCCCGGAAACAAGTTTCTATTGTTGAATAAAGGCTGAGAGGGTGAGAGGGGATGGGGCTGGAGCAGAGCAGCTCAAAAAGTTATACGTGTGTGTGTGTGTGTGTGT